CGAATTGTCTCAGAATAATAATTTTAAAACATAAAATAAAAGGCTTGGAATGGAGCTGAATGGAAAGACCCTGGATTCAATCGCCAGCACCACAAGGGAAAAACAAACAAAACAAAGAACCTACTCTATACAATCTCTTTAAAAAAAAAAAATAACAGATAAGGAAAAACTTTCCAATTTGTTTTATAAAGCCAGTATTACCTTGATACCAAAACCAGACAAAAACAATACCAAAAAAGAAAAACTACATAGTCATTCAATGAAGGCAAGAAAAAATTTGACATGCATTCATGATAGAACTCTCAGAAAAAAAGAAAAATACTTAGAGTTCTGTACCCTCAATAAAGAGCAACTACAAGCAACTTATTGCCAACACACTTAATTGGGAAAAGACTGAAATCTTTTCTAAGGTGGGTAAGTAAGGAAAAGATGTCCAATCTTACCACTCTTGCTCAACATAGTGATAGAATTTCTAGCAAATAAAAGACATACACATCAGGAGAATTAAATTGTGACTATTTTCAGATGGAATGACTGTCTTTGTAGAAACCCTTAGAAATTAAAAGAAAAATCAGAACTACTATGTAAGTTCAGTAAAGGCCATGGGAAACAAGATAAGCTAAACATACAAAAATTAATTTTATTTCTACAAGTAAGAATATGTACATACTGAAATTAAAAATTCACCACTCATAATGGCTCAAAATAAAAATGAAATATATGTAATCTTGAAAAAGGATCTACATGCATACTAAAAACTAATGAAAGACTCATAATGAAAGAAATCAAACATCTAAAAACAGGGAGAGCTAGGTGTGTGGCTCAGTGGTAGGGAATTTGCCTAGTATGTAAGGCCTAAATCCCCAACACTACCACCACAACAAAAAAATTTAAAATGGAGATATGTAGCTACCTTCCATATACTGAAGAACCAAATAGTAAACATGTTAATTCTCCCCTAATTCATTTACAGTTTAAAACTGCAGCAAGATGTTTTTTGCAGATATAAAGAATATTCCAAAATTTATATGAAAAAGCCAAGGAACTAGAATAGCTAAAAGAATTTTTTAAAAACACATGAATCAGTTCATCTAATTTCAAAGCTTACTACATAGCAGTGATAGTGAACCTTTCAGAGCTTTTAACGATACAAACAGCCTGCTGTGGCGCTAGCCACGACTGCTATATAGCTACAGTAATTCAGACTATGTGGTACTAGCACATGATTAGGACACATCAATGGAACAGAACAGAGAACCCAGATATAGACCCACACAAATATGTCCAATTGATTTTTGATAAAATGGCAAAGGCAATTCAATAGAAAACAGGTTTCCAACAAATGGTACTAGAACAAGTGGCTAAAGACAAAGAAATAAAGACCCTGAGACTCATACCTTTTACAGAAATTAATTAAAAATGCACCACTGGCCAGGGATTTAGCTCAGTGGTTCTGCCACCTGCCTTTCAAGCACAAGGACCAGAGTTTAATCCCCAGTACCAAAAAAAAAAAATGCACCACTGACTTAAATATAAAAAATATAAATCTAGGAA